CAAATTGATTTTTTTTTTAAAAAAAAGTTCCTAAGTAAAATAGATGTAGATTTGGTCATCTGATTCAGATCATTTGTCATTTCAAAAAAAATTTTTTTATCGATTTGGTCATTTTTCCCAGCACTCACCCCATATCTCGGTCTGAAAATCATATTTGGTATATAAAATTAAAATTGATTTTTCCCGGCAGTTTCCCACTATTCTATTGCAAAGGCCCATATGTTCGTACTCATATTCTATTATCGGGAGTTAGGAAACATTTAATCTAAATTATTAGATAGTTTTTATTTTGTTTTGTTTTTTTCATACTTGTAATTTTTTTTTCTTCAGAAAAATTTATTAATCTTAATAAAATAACTACATCAAAAAAAAATAAATTAAAAATATATTCATAAAATCAAAAAAAAGCAAAAAAAAAAAATCTTATCAAAGAGGAACCTTAAAAAAAAAGATCAACAAAAAAAATTTTTGACCAAATAACCAGAAATTAAATAATTTAAAATTTAAAAATTATAAAAAAATATTAAATTAAACTAAAAAAACCACGTACTTCCAAAGCCCTCCCATTATTAAAAAATAACGAATAATAAGTTTATAAGCAATGAAATAAGAATCATTCATCGCTTTGGCCCAAAACGATCGAATCGAATCCCAAATAATATGAAATCTCATACAGCATACTTGCGAAACGATCAAACCCGAAAAATAAAAAAGAGAAGAAAATAGGCCGGGCAATAAATTTTTACCAGACCGTATCAGTTTTTTCAATAATTGAAAAAATGATTTTTATATAATAGTGAAGCATCGATTGTGAAAATGTAAATTTTTTTTTTTTGATGAATAATATTTTCTTGACAAATGATTTTTTGGGGGCCGAATCTTAAATCGAAACTTGAGAAACGCTAATATATGAATAAAATTGGAAAACTTATGTCTTCATGCAGAAGAGAATTTTATTATAAAAATATAAATATAAAAGTTCTCATTTTGTTTTAAACAAATGGTAATTGCATGAATTTTAAAATCTACAACATAATAAAAAATTGCTTAATTATTTAATATCATCAAACAAATTTGTAAATAATATTTCAATATATTTTATAAATCATAACAAATAAAAAATTGTTGCATTGTTGCATGACTAATCCCGTTTAGCAGCATCTTCAATGTTAAGAAGCTTTAAAAGTTTGTGTTTCATTTCAGACCAATCGTCCATATTCCAATCACCCTTTTTAATAGCTTCCTTTATATACCTCCGAGACATTTCGACATCTACACGATAATGTCTAAAACATAAAAAAATAATGTTTACATACATCATATTGGTTTAAGAACAACAAAATTACTTACATTACTTCAGGAAACCTAGTTCTGATACGTCTTAGACGAGGTGGTAAATCAAAAAGTTCCATTTCTGCTATAATTTCAGCTTTTAGTGCTAAATACGAAGCTCTATCATTATCTTTTTCAATTGCCATATTAAGTAGACCAATAAATAAATTCATTAAATATATGACAATTAAAAACGAAAATACAGCCATTAAAATTAATAACGTCTTGTTTTCAGATGGTGTCCAAATCGATAATGAATCTTGATTTCCTAAAAAAAAAAAAATTGGAAATTTGATAGGTTAGTGTGATTTATTAATATTACATCCCATCTTGTGTGATAAATTACCTGTTAAGAATAAATACATTGCAAGAAGAGAAGTAGGATATGAAAAAAATAAATTGGTCTTTTCATCAGGGGTTTGAATAAGAGTTTGATTTAAAATATTTCCATTTTCATCAGTTTGATAAAAAGTATTAGAAATGGTCCAAGGATTATTTGAATCGCTTAAATTTTGCGTCTTTAATGAATCTAAAAGATCACGAGGATGTAAAAGTAAAAAAAATGCATGCGCAAAACTTGCGAGAATAATTGCCAAAACAACTAAAAAAGAAAATACACGCTTAGCCACTCCGAACATTATTACAAAATAAACACCAAAGGATTCTAATACTCTAAAAAAAAGTAAAAATTTTAAATCTAATAATAAACATGTGACTGATAATGCCCAATAAGGTGCTTCTTCATATTTAATCCAATAGATCGATGATAAAATAACTGAAAGGTACGCACTAAAATCTTTTTTTAAAAAATATAATATTTAATAAGTTATAACTATCATAATTTTCAACTGTCAAAATGAAAATTGTATTTACCGAACCAATTCCAAATGCTGAAAAATTTTTTTTAGGGTTCCAAATAAATTGTTTTAACTCAGATACAAGGAATATAAATTCAAATATTAATGAGATTTGATAAAATCCAAAACGGGTTTCTTGCGTAATATAATTTGAGGGGTATGAAGCAAATGTAAAGAATAAAAGGAAAATTGTAAAATCACGCCAACTAGCAAAATAATAAAGTCTCCCGAATTTTTTCCATTTAAAATCTATGATTGCTTCACCATTCCAATTTGCATAGAAATCTTTTTTACAGGTATTAACAAAAACGCTCTGTTGAGGTTTAAAAATTTCTGTCCATCTATAATCTGAAGGATAGCAAGAATAACTCATATAAGGAACTATAAGAGTAATATATTGCTTAACTTTAAAATTTCTCTCAAAAATTTTATAATAGATCGAATAAAATGCTCCGATTAATTTTGGTGACATCATTATTAACGCGTTTGATGTAATTTGCAATAATTTTATAGAAAAGATTTAAAGCCAAATTATCTTTTATAATAAATGATGGTATAAGAAAATAAAATATTATAATAAGAAGAATGACAAAAAAAATTCTTAAAGTATTTCTTCTCAAATTCCATATTTGAGATATTTGGTTTTCTTCTATATTAATTTCGTTACAAAAAGTAAAAAAATGATATAAATTGTCATCGTGAAAATTATTCTGAATAATCTTTTCATTACAAGGGTCTAAGAACATGAACATTTCAGAATTAAATTTTGCTATGATATCGGGATAAGTTTTATATAAACCTTCCATAGATGATGTTATAATATTGAGAAATTTCAGATTTCTTTTTGGATCTTCTTTAAGAAGTAAATCATTTCTGCATATTCAGTTGACTTTTGATTGATTAAACCTGATAATAAAATTGATCCATATTTTGCAAGACATTTATCATCCTCGATAATGTTTTTTAACCATTCATCAAATAAAGATTTAAGAAAATTATGTTTTTTATAATTAGAGAGATGTTTAAAAAATTCTTTAAAATTTATCATTGGTAAGCTAGGTCCAGAAAAATTTTCAACAGTTAGATCTTCATCAAAGTAAAAATAATGGGTTTTAATACTTTTATTAATGTCATCATATTTGTATATTGTTATATATCGATATTGATCTATAGAATGGCATAAAGCTAATGAATTATTATCAAGAATTTTCCAAAAACAATCAACTTGCTCCAACACTTTTGTTGAACATGGTACTTCATTTTGAGGCTCATAAATTTCGATGACTTTACTCTTCTGATCGATTCTCCATTTATATTCTTGATTATTGAAATTTATGAATATAGGATCTTTTGTATATCTTGTATTATCTCGATTTGAAACCATAGCTTTAATTTTGTCCATATCAGGAAAGACCAAAGTATCATTGTAATTATTTTCGGAAGTTTGGCACAAGTAATTATTCCAACCATACTCCATATCAATGGTACGCCAATTTATCTTGGTTAAATTAATTTCGGAACTTGAGGTTTTTCCATTGACTAATCCAAATGCCTTCTTTGATTCTGAACTATATTCATAAAGAATGAAACTATTATCATTAAAAATCTTTGATACATCTTCATCAACAGGTTGTTTTTTAATTTCAGTTATGTGATGTAGGCTTATATCTTGTTTTTCGTTTATATTGGGTAAATTAAAAGCCAAAAGATAATAATTGTTTAATACTTCAATCGAAGATTTCTTTCTATTTGAATATTTCGAATTGGAACATGAATCCCTTTTGAAAAAATCGAAATAAATTTATTATATTTTACCAAGATTAAATTTTCTCTCAATATAATATCTTCAACGTCTTTGCCGTCAAATTTAAGCGAATAACTAAATTCGAATTGAATTATATTCAAATCCCATTGATATAATAAATCTGGATAAATGGCCCATATTTTATTATCCTTAATAATTACTTTGCGTTCTTGGGCCGATAAGACTTCTTCAAATATTTCGCCTGAAGAGATGACATGTTTTGATGTACACTTTAGTCCATTACTTGTTTGAGAATAGCCTTTTATAAAAAATCGTTTAAAAATCGATGTTTGTTCTACTAGTAATAGAATTTCGCCATCGTTTTTTAAATAACATGAAAGGTAACACAGATTCAATGAATTGTAAATTGGCCGAAATTGTGACATTTGAAAGGTTCCGATGTTATTTTCCCATACATATAAAACAAATTTATCATCATTAACTTTAATGTCATTTATTTTTTAATCATCTGGTAATTTAAAAGCAGATACTTCAAAGTCTCGTTTTAGAGGGGCAAGTTTAGAATCGTTTTCTTTGACAATCCATCCTTCAATTGAACGATCTTTGCTGCTATACGTGATTACATATTTACCATTAGGAGAAACAGATACTAATGTTATTTGGCCTCCATTGTGCGCTGTGGTATTATCGTCTATATTAATGATTTTGCTCATGAGACATTTAAATTATTCGAACAGTTTATTTTACAATATCGAACCGGTTTTAATTCGTAAAAACTATAAAAAGAAAGGTTATGATGAAAAACCACTTGTATAAATAGATGAAATTGATTTGTGGCGCAAGTGCAGACTTTTAAGATACGGAATCAATTACAGAGATATACTGTAGATGAGGGATAACTATATCGGTCAAAAACCGATTTCCGGTAATATAGGTATTCTATATAAAGTTTAACTGGACTCATATTTTCTAGTTATAAAATATAAAAAGTTTATTTTTTTTTTCATGTAAACCTTTAAGTGTTGACAATCCTGCAAATTATTAGATGTTATGCAAAGACTTGAAATAAAAATAGCAAGCAATAAAAGTTAAAGTTATTCCTTTTCTGAATAAATCATTTCGAATTGTACTAAACTGGTAAGGTAAATATTAATTGGTTGCGACACCATTGACTTTATATAATCTTATTTAATCTACGATAAAAATCTAGATGTTAAACGGGAATCCTACATCCGCCGTATTGTCACATTTCATAATTCATGAATTAAAAGTTATGATTTTGCTGAATAATTCAGCTGAGGACGGTGATCCTATGGCTATGTAATTAATACATAGCCACCGGATCATTTTATCTATTTTATGTTTGACAGAAATAAATTTCCTATCAAGGATATTTTGATCGTTGTTTCTGACAATTGATACACCGGGCACAGCCCGCAAGCCTACTATGTAATTCCTTTTCTAGGCTATGAATACACGAGATGAGGTTTATTAAAAGCATAACATAGTTTATTTGACGGGATCGCTCAGTTTGTTTTTGATCAATCAAATATTACAACTAATTAGTGATGTACTACTTCCGTTGGATTCAAGTAGAGTCGATTACGGAATTTATCAAATGACTGATCCGTAAATTATTCTCAATCCGAAAATATCCGAAATACAATCAACATAAATATCTTAATTTGTATGTGATATATTCATTCTCAGAATGAACCCGTTTAGAATATTTACCACATAGACATTTAGTACGAAGTCAAAAGATTCAAATCAAATTTCATAAAATTATCATGTAATTTATATTTATTTTTATATTATTATCATTCAGTTTACGTATTATAACATATTTATTTTACAAATTATCGTTAACAATGATTGAATGCAATTTACGTGTTACAATATATATCAGCGTTGTGTCCAATATATATTGTTTACATGTAAATTCTAAATTATATAAAGCTTTAATAAATTTGATTGATTTATTTAGAAAATGTAAATTAAAAAAAACTTACATCACTTTTTACGTTAGATCGTTTAGTTTTAGGTAGCCACAGGATTCAACTCCTGCACATTTTTAGCGGGTTGTTTTGACTTTCGGATTGGTACAGTTTCCACAGGCGGATCCGAACCCCGTCTATCTTTAACATTACATCCCTTATTCGTTTTTAATAATATTGCTTGATTTGCGGATTGGTTGTTTTTGACTTTTGCTATTCCTATAAATTAAAATATATTGTTAAGTTATTATTAATAAAAAGATAAAAATTAGCTACCTTTTAGCTTGTTCGGACATCTTAAGCAAAACTGAATCTTGATTTTTTGATTCAATCAAAGAAAATTGTATCCTGATTTGTTGGTTCGTCAACTTGTAAAACATAAACATTTGATTATTTGTTTTAACATCTTTAGCTTTATTTTAATTTTCTAATATATAAAGATTATTATACAGATATTGCTTAAATATTATTCTATAAAGTTTTTAACCGTTCTTTACTTAAAAAATTGAACATAATTAATACCGATTTTTGATTTTCAAAACTAGGAATCGAAAATTGTTTTTAGCAGCCGATTAATCGTTTCAAAAATCTATTTTTGCCGATTCGATTTTCGATTTATGTTTTTGAAACGATTCCAATCCCTACTCCATACCTACATCAAGATGGATGTTAGTAGCAAATTATAACTGCTCTTGTGAAGCATTTGACAATTTTGTTGCCATTTCGAATTAGGTTGGATGTCTGTAATGTCGTCTAGTTAATTTAAATGAACTTTTAAAATTTTTGATAATTATTAATTTGTTTTTTCATATAATCTATTTGTGCAATCGTAATCACATGACTTTAAACCACAAATTTATTAGATAATATAATGTGCAATAACGCAGAAAAATATACAAGTACAATATCTTCTTAACAAGTTATTAAATACTTGTTTTCAGACAAAGATATATAGAAATTGGTATACTAATAGAATCTTATGATTAGTTGAGTCGATTTGATAACTCTTTTAAGGCATTCAAGGTGTTTATACTTTGATTTTCATATTTTGTATTTGTAGTTCTGTTTTTAAAGCAAAACAAAAACTATCAAGCCAAATCTTAAAGCTCCCCTAATTCGTAAATAATATCAATTCCATAGAGTCTGATAACTTTGTTTTAAAGTCTAATGTCATACAAAGACATTGTGCTAAACAATCTCGTAAAAAGGATATCGAAAGAAACACAAAGATTTCGTTATATAAACATTTATGAAAAAAATTTTCAAGTTTAATACGGAAACAAATTTCAATCTTAACAAATTATCGTATAAAAACAGGGCACACTGGCAGAAGGTTATAAATATTTTTGTTTACTCGAAAATTCACAAAGTATCCGAAATAAATTTGTTTAAAAGAAATAAAGTTTTTTAAAATTTTTTTTATACTCGATATGATATCTAAGATGACAATTCTGGTTTCATCATGGCATGGTTTACAATAAAGCAAAAATAGAGAAATTAAAATGCTTAGGAAGGATTCTTGGACCATAATATTATTTCGTTATCAGAAGTAATCATTTAACATAAATATTCAATTTTGGAAGAAAAATAATTTAAACTTTCTCAAAATATTTCATACAGTCTGAAGCAATGTTGTTGATGAACATTTTATCAGTATTTAATAAATTTATAAATTCAGTATTTATTTATAATTTGATATTGTGTTACATTTACAAAATTTTTTATATATTAAATTTATTGAGTTCCTAAATAATTAAAAATATAATTAGTCTATAAATACTAAAATTTACGTTATTTTATAAAAGAATAATACTGACCACCTCCACGACTAAAGGTACTTGTCCTTTTACCACGACTACTTTATGCACGTCCACGACTTGGTCCGCGTAAACGACGACTTGCACCGCGTACACCACGCCTTGCACCATCTTCCCCTCTAGCTACTAATACAGGTTCGAAACAAAAAATTAACTCAAAATTTTTTTTTTTTTGAAATGGATTTATATGAATAGTGGTTTACCATTATTTTCATTTATATCTCGTTTATTAACAATGTCAGGATAATTGGCAAAAGCTATGTTCTCAGCATTAGCAGGAGCAGCGTTAACTGATGGCACCGTAGCACTAAAGAATGCAATGGTAGCGGCTAATAACGTAGTAAGTTTTGTCCACAACATCGTAAAAGAGTAGTAGGTGAATTATTTTTCGTTTTAATATTTGAATTTTTCTTTTTTTTCGCTTTTGTAAAAAAAATAAATAAAATTGAGACCAAAGCTACCGAATTTATAAAGATTTGATGAGATCAATTTTCTTTACTGATAAAAAAATTTTTTTGAATTCTTCTAATTATGGAAATATATTTACATAAAATAATCTTACAATTAAGTAAATATTTTTTGTAATTTTTCCTTCAGTTCCACACTTTCTATTGTTATAGCTTTGATTCAATTACCTTTTAAATTAAATAGAATAATTAGAATGCAGGATGGCGTATGATTTTTAAATGCACATATTTAATCAAAAAATCCATATTAATAAATTCTTTTTTTTTTTTTTACGTATTATACTAGCGCCAATTTGTTCTGGGAACTCATTGTTGAATGGTAGGAATTGTTTTTATTCTTTTAGTTATTGACAGAATACATTAAATCCGTAACCTGTGAATTCTTTCGATAATAAAGTCACTTAATATCGTTATAAATAATACGTTCAAATATGAAATTTGCTAATCCAAAATAAAAGAATTAAATATTTTTTTTTTTTTTTTTTTTTAAAGTATACTTTAATTTTTTTTTACAAAAATTAAATTGTTCGCAAAGAATATCACATTGACAGTAATAACAATACTTAAATTTTTTTGGTCAAATTTCATGGAGCTTCCCGAGTTCGTCAAAATTCATTGGATTCTATGAATTACTTTTTTGTGATTTTCCTAATCAAGTAATACATTCAGTAAATGATTTTAACCGAAATTATTATCATACATATGTATGACAAAGTTGTATAACATCGCAATGATTGAGATAATGAAAAATGGATTTTCAACATGTTGGAACAGGTAAAAGAATTTTTTAACCGGTTATTAACCGGTTAAGAATTTTAGGATGTTTCCAACAACTACAATATACTTTTAATAATAAGGAGCTTTAATCACCTCTTTTCAAATTAATCAATAACGAAAGTAACAAGAAGGATTAACTTTAACATTAGATTTATTATGATTATAATATTAGAATGAAAACGAATGTTATGATGTTAATTGAATAAAGGGAAGGGACATTGTTAAAAAATATTTTTATGAATGTATTGTTTGTTTGTTAGTGATCTGCACAAGCTGATCTTAGATTTTGGGAGATCAAATTGACCAGTTGACCACGGGACAAATTGTCTTTCGGCCAAATGATCTCGTCAACTTGTCCTCTGGACAAGTTGTTTTTCGAATTAAAGGTATAAAATGATGGATTGTTAACTGGGTTCGAATAGACAGATAGATATGAGGCGCCGTCCTGTTCAAAAGTACGGGATTCAACCCCGGATGATTCCTCAAGATCCGGGATTGAAATGTGTATTCTTACCCCAGATTCCCAGATGATCTTTTGGGATCTAATTATGAATTTAATCAATGAATTAATTCCTTAAATTTCACGAGGGTGGTATATCACCTCTATAGATATTACAGTTTATAGTCAATAAAAAATTTTCTTTTGATAATCGTTTCTATTGAAATATATTATTTTATTATTTAATTTATAAAAATAAAAATAATTTTTTTAAAAAAAAATTTTTCTTTGAAAAACAAGTGACGCAGTATCGTTTCGTTTATAACTTGGACATTTTAAGAAAAATAATTAAATTCAAACGAAATTTATTTGTAACGGAAGATATGACATAACGCCATGTGAAATTTAAGGAATTAATCCTGCATAAGACACAAAAGTCCGGGTATTCAACCCTGGATTATTTTTGGATAAAACATTACATTGTCTGATGTTAGAGGGGAAAAGATCATCCGGGGTTTTAACCAAAAATAATCCGGGGTTCCCTTAGATAGTTTATTAGCCATAGTAATTTGGCAACGATCGACATTCAATTGACTCCGAAAGCATAGTACTTAATAATTTTTGCATCATTATTACCTTCTGCTTACATTTTTTAATTTTCTACAAAGAACTGAATTATTTCTCATTATAGGATTCGCATCTAGAGCATTACATCTTGAGCATTTCTTTCAGTAATTCAAGATGTAATAGAATAAAATTCGAGTTTGTCAATTCTATTTTTAAAAAAAAATTTCCGATTTATTATAATTTTTTTTTTTAACATAGTACTTGGAAAAGTTTAATTGCACGAATATTGTATAATTGTTAAAAAAAATTAGTAATAACTATTTAAGCAAGCTGAAAACCTACGATTGAAAATAAGTATATTATTTATAATTTGTATTATTTTTAGCCGACTTTGTAATTTTAACATAATTTTGTTTAAGGACTGGACTAAAAAAAAATGAAAGTTTATTAACATAACGGTAACAGAACATGGTCCCTAATTTTAAGGCTATTGCTAAAATTGCTAAAATGCATATATTAAAATAATTCTTTTATATAAAACTTAAAATTGGCATTTTAAATCTATTTTTTTTTTATCAAACAATTTTAGTATTAGGCCGAACAAATAAAATATTTAGATACTCGTAACCCGCGTGCGTCAAAAAGTCAAAAATAAAAATTTTATAATAATTAATAGTTATTCGGCACGAAGTGCCGAAAAACTATTATATTGGGAAAATCAAATTTGATTCCCAATATTATTAGCTACCTTGTAGGTAGCGGTAGTTATTCGGCTC